AACAATTTTTGTACCCGCCATGAACCTCCTCAAAATAGACTTATGTCATTTATATTAAACGTTAAAATCATCACCCTTAGAAAACACCAAACACTACCAAAAAACAACATACAAACCCAGCATCACCACCATACAATATTACAAAAGCCCTACACCCATACACACGACTCACATATAAAAAAAAAACCATCTTCAGGATCATTAACCCATACACCCTCTAAGCCTGTTCAAAGCTTAAAACTTTTATTACAGCAATATTAAGGCCTTTCTAACAACCTATTATAGCAATATTAAGGTCTTTTTAACAACCTATTATAGTAATATTAATGTCTTTCTAACAACCTATTATAGCAATATTAATGTCTTTCTAACAACCTATTATATCAATATTAAGGTCTTTCTAACATGCTATTATAGCAATATTAAGGCCTTTCTAACAAGTTATTTAGAATTTTTATATTGATATTTTTTTTCGTTCTATAGAAATATCTAGCTTAGTTGAACGATAAAACACAATGTAGAAAAGATAATTTAAAAATAATAAGTGCGTTTCTGTGTGTGCGTATTTCCGTGTGCGTGTGTCTGTGCGCGTGTTCCCGTGTGCGAATTTTTTGCGTGTTTCTATGCGTGGGTGTTTCTTTGTGTCTGTGTGTGTTTATGTGTGTGTGTCTGTATGCGTATGGCTGTGTGTGTGTGTTTGTGTGTGTGTGTGTGTGTACCGTGTGTGCGTTTTTCTGTTTTCATGTATATTCATGTGCATGTGTAGCCTAAGTGTTTATTTTTCAGTGTGTGTTAGAATGAAAGGATGGTAGAAGGAAATGGTGGGGGCTTTGATTTACATAAAATGCAAAAATTGTATTAAAATGTTGCAAATACGCAAAATTGTTTTAATAAATAAAGGATAAATCAACAAACTTAAAACACATCGGCATCTAAAGCGCTATTTCAATTTATTTTTACAATAACAATACGGTTTGATCTGATTGTTCTTGCTATACATACACGCCGCGTCGTTGCCGTACCTGTTGATACGGCTAATCTCTTTCTCGCTGGTCGTCATGACGTTGGTGACTTTGTTGTGCGTGACCGTGACCTCGAAATGACCGTGACCCGGCGTGGTGTAAAAGGTCAACTGGAACAAGGTCATGTCGCTGGTGCTGTATTCTGCGTGAGTTAAAAGAGCTTTCCGACTTTCCAGCATGGAAGACGCCGTGACGTTCTCTACCTTAAGCTCTGCGCAGTCGTCTCTGAAACCGGAAGTGAGGTTGTTGATGTAGGCCACGGCGAATTCGGTGACGTTTTGCACATACGGGTCATCAGATGACATGTTTTTCCACGCTAGACATGCGCACCAATGAGATGCTATGTGCGCATGCTCGCACGTCCGCTCCAATGGAATCTCTTTAAACAAACTGATCCCTCTGTTGGAGAGATTCCCCACCCCCGTCCCATCCAAACGTAAAAAATCTTTCAACGTCTCGTGGATATCAAAAGGCGTGGTCAGTCTATGTGCGTTTGTCCGCAGGTTTTGAATGGCTTCGGGGTATTTCTCTTCAAACCATTTGGGGAACAGGAAGGAGAAGTAGGGCAGCCTCTCTTCTATTTTACCTTGCCAGGTAGAGCGGATTTTCCCGTACCTGGCGCCATGGTCCCCTAACATAATAAACATTGCGTTGTCAAGGTAACCACCGTCGTATAGGAATTTTATGCTGTCTTTTACCTCATCATCGACCTGATGAAAGAATAAATGATAAACATTTAGTTTTATACAGGTAGTGTTAATATTTATTGAAATTTATTTTTAAACGTATGTAAAAACAAGCATTTTCTAAGGTTTACATTAGCGCAACGTATCATTAAGGGAAACGATGTTGTCTATTACCCACAATCCCGTTCTTCCTCTGTTTTGTAAACAGTAGGCACTAAGCAGTCATTTAGGCCAAGTGTATATTTAGCGTCTGATGAAATTGTATCTTTTTTTGGCGACTTTGTAAGGCGCTAGGGCGAATCACGAAATAATGTTACCGCCGTTCATTTGCATATGCAATGGTTTTTATTTACTTTAATAATAGAAATAGACTTTGGGATATAAATCAAGGATGACTGAATAGATTTAGACAAAAGAGTCCGATGCAACTACATCAACAACCCATTTATAATTTAGAGATCGAAGAAAAAGAAGCCGCACTTCTTCTTCGTTCTTAATTTATGTCTCGGAAAGGATTCCCTACAACACAATTGAGTATGACGTAACATCTAGCCATACGCAATTTAGGCCTGCTTTTCTTTTTGGATTTGCTTTCATAGCCTTTGTCCAACCAAGAACAAACTACAAAGCAGCAAGTGTTTAATTTTGGAGTTGTCTCTCCTAGAAGAGTGGCTGTCCCCAGCTAACGAGCCTCATCTGCCCGAGGGTTCGAACTCGAGACGTTTCGGTTTAGCAACCATGAGTTTTACCGACTCGACCACACCGACCCCTGAAGCTGCACTAACCTTTGTGATTTTGTTGTTGTCGTCGTGACTCATCTCGGAGAGGAAGTGGACCAGGAACTTCCGCTTGTTCCTGTACATGAGGAAGATATCCCGGAAGTAGTTGAGCCAAACCTCGATGGTTCTCTGTGAGCCGATACAAGGATCCAGGTACTCACGGGCGGCCTTGAGCGCGTAGAAGAAGGGGCGGGTGAAGAAGTCGGTCGGCGGCTGGTTGAACCCCAGCATCCGCCAGGTGAAGGTGCCGGACAGAGCTTCCGCCCATGACGTCAGGTACCCGGCTTTCTTAAACTCGTGCCAGAGAAAGGGGAAGTTATCCATGGGTATGGCGTCATCCTCATCAAGACTGTGAAATCAGAGAGAAAAAAAATATTTTGAATTTAAGAAAGTGTGGATAATCCTTGCACTAAGAACCTTAATTTTAGAAAAGTGAAAGAAACAAAGAAAAAGTACATTTTATTTCGAGATATGTCAATTTATTTGTGATGAACTAGAGTGAGAATTCAAACAGGGCTATTATAGTGTCATACTTTTTCCGTGTGTGTGTGTGTTTTCTGTATGTGCGTGTGTTTTGTGTGTGCGTGCGCGCATGAATGTGTGTTGTGTGTGTGCGTGTGCGTGTGTGTGTGTGTCTGCGTGCGCTCGCGCTCATTAATATGAAAAAAAAAATTACGAGTGTAATTTATACACTCAAAAATCTCGCACGCAACATTTGACTGCCAGCCTCCTCCCGGCTCACACCCGTCCTGCGCCTTTCCCCGCTGGACCAGACGTGACTACACTCCCATTTTAGCGGCTCCCACTGCTCGCTAGAACAAGTGCAGATCACGTGACTTGACAGTTAACAAGCGTGAGTTCATTTTAAAAATAATAATTCACCAACGGTACTGTTAAATACTTGGAGTATCACGTAAGGTTCTACTCCGAGCTACGGATTTGGTGAGTACTTTGAGACAGATGATGGACTCCAGGATAAAAGGGGTGGGGTGAAGACATCAGTACATTGGCATATTTGCAAGCACCAAATAGGCTTATAATCTCTCACTTGAACACGTGAAGTAACTTTTTGAAACATGGGAGATGTTGGGATGTGATTCAAGTAACTCAGGGACGCTCTGCGGATTTGAACTCGAGACTTTCAGGTTAGCAGTCTAGCGCGCTACCGCTGGGTCACGCCGTCCCATTAGATGGAAGATGTTTGGATATGATTATATGAAAACTGAGGGACGCTCTACTGATGTGAACTCAAGACTTTCGGGTTAGCAGTCTAGCGTTCTACCGCTAAGCCACACCGTCACTAATTCTTTGAGATCGTTTCAACATAATGTGTTTTAGAAAAAGCTCGTTCTTATGTAAGGTTTTGTAACGGCCTTTTCTGCTGCTAATCATTGCACGAACTCAAAAAAAAAAACAACAAATACCAAGCGCTCTCCTCTTTCCTCCTTTGTTATTACATATTATAGTCTAATTTATAACACTAAACAACCCACGGTCAGGAAATTTTAATGATTTTATTGGTTCATTGATACGACTTCACTGCCAAAACATCGCCATTTTCTTCCCGCTCTCTACCCCCTTACTTCCTTTTTTAGCGCATGCGCACACCCACACTATATTTTAGATTTATATCGCCTTTTTCTGAAACATACTCGAAACATGCATTCACCTTACATTTGACTGTTACAGGTTTAAATAAACATTGGAATGAAAACTATATGTATCGATAATGAATTTCAAACTCACTCGCTTTCCGGGAGTTCCCACTCAAACTTGCCCGTGAACTGGGGCAGAAACACGGCCGTCGTCCCGTCCCCCACCACATTGTGAGACTGCAGCTCTATGGCGCCCAGGCTGACCAGGTACTCCCGCGTCTTGGGCAGACGCCGCAGCCACGACAGTCTTGACATGGAGTCGAACCCGAACATGACAACACTCAGCCCGCCCAGGCCTTCGCTTAAATCCACTTCCGGTCTGTTGGCGCGGTCGTGGGTGTAGGCGACGCCGGCGTGGACGCCCTCGTAGGTGTGGTTGTTTTTGTCTTTACACGAGACTTTGAAAAAATCATTCGGGAACTGGTATCCCTCGGGGATGTTTCTCCAGGCGCTTCCCCAGGTAACTTGTCTTTCATGAACCCTCACCAGGTTATAAAAATCACATGTGAAATTCCCGTACTTCTTCAAGACTGATTTAGAAAACCTCAAGGTACCGTTGTCGATGTAGACCCAGTTCTCGCCTTCACACACGGGCGGCGGAAGTTTTTTGTAGTACGACATCATCACAGGGTCGTCGATCTTTATCGGCGGATGGATACACGCCTGTTTGGGCTCGACCTTGATCGGAGCAGGCTGGTTTAGAACCCGGTCTATCCAGAAGAATGTAGTCTCCACGGGCGATGATATTCTGAAGGTGCCATCGTTGATGATGTAAACGACACCAATCGTGCAGCAGAAGATGGCGAGGATAAAATACTTTTGGCGGTTTAATACAAAATACTTTCCGATTGTACTCATTGTATACCAACACTCGTGGAATATAGAGCAGAATTTACACACTTAAAATTAGCAGTTGTTAAAATATATTTTATCGTCTATGTCCAATCTGTGATTGTTTTTGTTAAAATGTATTTAAAGTCCAGAGTCACTGAGTGTATCAATTTTTAAAAAATATTTACAAATAAGAATAAATGTAATAATATCGTTGACGGTATTTTCAGAGTTTTGTAATTAGCAAATCTTAAAATTCAGCTCCTGAAAATATAAATTATTTAAATTAGTTTACAATCCTTGGAAATCTAAAATGTTTAGTTTTTAGTATTTGTAATTAAATACAAGAGTCGAGAGAGATAGTAGTAAGGGTCTGATAAATTCTCGTTTTGATGTCATTTGAGCTAGAATATCAAAAGTCTATAAATATCAAAATCCTGGGTCACCGATATAATCATAAAAATATATTATTACGAGTGTAACTTGTTAAGTTCTAGATGTCTATTATTATGAAAGTTGTAATTTCCTGAATAAAACGCGATGCTCTAGTCCGTTTATTTATGGTTATGTGTCTAAAACTAACACGCTTAATAAAGAAAAAAAAAGAAAAACTTTACCAACAGACATATTTTCTTTTACTTACGGACACTAAGAATTGCTTTAATATCAATCTTTTTTTTTACATCACAACCATATGGTGATGTCTACTGTACTAACATTGAAAAACGTTGCTATATGTTCCCCGGATAAATAAGTAAAGACTTGTTGATAGCTATGTCTAATAAATTGAAAGCGCCTCGATTGTTCAACGTTATAAGAAAAGACGAGAAGTTTCTATGGAAAAAATAATTTGTCATTGTCATGTTTATTTAGTAAAAGAATGAAAACATCAGGTGTGCAGAGATTAGAAACACACAACTACAAACATTTATAGCCAAGTTGATGTGCTCATTGTACGTATTGGGAAATATAATTTCTAGCTAATCCTAGATGTTAGTGTCTCCGCCGTCATTAATAATGTACGCTGAATTTATGTAAGCACAGCACACACAAGTTGTACGCTGAAATTATGTAAACACAGTACACACAAGTTTAGTATTAGATACTATTTTATGTGCTAATGCATCAGTCAAGCCAAAAATTTCTTCATAAACCTAAAGCAGAGTTCTATAAAGTCATATATCAAAGTCCTACAAAAGTAGTCCTAGTAAGCAGTCTTACAAAGTAGTGCAACGGGAGGTCGGTGTGGTCGTGTGAGATAGTTTCAGAATGTTTCGAGCCGAAAAGTCCTGAGTTCAAACTCTCGGGGCAGATGAGGCTCGTTAGCTGGGGACAGCCACTGATCAAGGAGAGACAACTCCAAAATCAAACAATTGCTGCCTTAGAGTTTGTTCTTGGTTGGACAAATGCTATGCAAGCAAATCCAAAAAAAAATAAGGCTGAAATCTGAGTCAACGGCCAATATGTCGCATAACCAGTTGACACGTAACACTTAATTCTATTGCAGGGAAACACTAGAACTAAGAACGAATAAAAATACAGCAAACCAATTCCTTCACAATCCTACACTAATCTCAAAACATCAAACACAACTTTACAAAAGTCCAAAGAAAAGTCCTACACCTCATAACATAGCACCTAACATATAGTCCTATAGAAAAGTCCTACACCTCATAACATAGCACCCAACATATAGTCCTTAAGAAAAGTCCTACACCTCATAACATAGCACCCAACATATAGTCCTACAGAGAAGTCCTACACCTCATAACATAGCACCCAACATATAATCCTATAGAAAAGTCCTACACCTCATAACATAGCACCTAACATATAGTCCTATAGAAAAGTCCTACACCTCACAACATATCAGCCCGGCAAAGCCATCTTTCAGAAGAACCAAACACTAAAATCCATCCTATTATATTGCCGCGTACAACCTATACAACCATCTCAGAAATCAAGAAGGACTATCCGCACGAGAAGTCAATCATCTCGCCGCCATATCCAGTATACAGAAACTAAACTAACCACGAAGGTTATCTATATATTAAAGTCGACATCGACGTTTTGTATTGATGTCTTTTCTTTTTGTAGTTAAACCTCGAGCTTTATTTGAAAGATAAGGGGGAACGTTAAATAAAATACACTTTTTAAAAAGTATAAAAAAAATTCAATTAAAAAATCGCAAACTAATCTAAATGTTATTTGTGGTAGAGGTTTCTGCCTATTTTAAGAATTTCTCTGATTTTTTTTTCCTATTATTTTCTCATGCATAAAAAAACTTCTCTGCTAAATAAATCCATAAGACGCAACAGATACGCGTCACCGGTTTTGTAGATATTCGCTCGAACACCAAATCTCCGAGTCAATTTTAATTTGAAACCTTTCCTTTTGCGTTGTGCACTGCGGCGTTCTAGTGTATCAATCTCTAAGGCTAGATGTTTAAAGCCGGATTTGTTAGAGGGGAGTTGGTATTGTACAGCCTGAGGTAATCTATGGATTGCTGGATTTAAATAAAATGCTTTTTCAGCAAAAAATTATTTAAAAAGATCTGTACTACTTGTTATAGATTTACTTGATAAAATGTTGGGTTACTCACAGAGGCGTAGTGACCCTTCCCGGCGCCAGGGCACCCCCCCCCTCAAACTTTTGATGTGCACCCCCCCCCCTCAAACTTTCAATTTGCACCCCCACTCAAGCTTTCAATTTGTTTTTCCAACCCATTGTGGCGCCCCATAAGGTCAGCGCCCGGGGACATATGTCCGTCCCCCCGCCCCCCCCCCCTCGCTACGCCTCTGGTTACTCATATAACATTTGTAAAATTATTTTAGGCTCAACCAAAGGCGTAGCTTCGGTGGGCGCCAAGGGGGTCTACACATTTTAAAATTTACGTTTAATTACTAAATTATATACAGTAGGATTATACAGATAGGTTAGGTTAGGTTAGGTTAGGTTAGGTTAAGTTAGGTTAAGTTAGGTTAAGTTAGGTTAGGTTAGGTTAGGTTAGGTTAGGTTAGGTTAGGTTAGGTTAGGTTAGGTTAGGTTAGGTTAGGTTAGGTTAGGTTAGGTTAGGTTAGGTTAGGTTAGGTTAGGTTAGGTTAGGTTATGTTAGGTTGGGTTGGGTTGGGTTGGGTTGGGTTGGGTTGGGTTGGGTTAGGTTAGGTTGGGTTGGGTTAGGTTAGGTTAGGTTAGGTTAGGTTAGGTTAAGGTTAGGTTAGGTAAGTTAGGTTAGGTTAGGTTAGGTTAGGTTAGGTTATGTTAGGTTGGGTTGGGTTGGGTTGGGTTGGGTTGGGTTGGGTTGGGTTAGGTTAGGTTGGGTTGGGTTAGGTTAGGTTAGGTTAGGTTAGGTTAGGTTAAGGTTAGGTTAGGTAAGTTAGGTTAGGTTAGGTTAGGTTAGGTTAGGTTAGGTTAGGTTAGGTTAGGTTATGTTAGGTTAGGTTAGGTTAGGTTAGGTTAGGTTAGGTTAGGTTAGGTTAGGTTAGGTTAGGATAGGATAGGTTAGGTTAGGTTAGGTTAGGTTAGGTTAGGTTAGGTTAGGTTGGGTTGGGTTGGGTTGGGTTGGGTTGGGTTGGGTTAGGTTGGGTTAGGTTAGGTTAGGTTGGGTTGGGTTGGGTTGGGTTGGGTTGGGTTAGGTTGGGTTGGGTTGGGTTAGGTTAGGTTAGGTTAGGTTAAGGTTAGGTTAGGTAAGTTAGGTTAGGTTAGGTTAGGTTAGGTTAGGTTAGGTTAGGTTAGGTTAGGTTAGGTTAGGTTAGGTTAGGTTAGGTTAGGTTAGGTTAGGTCAGGTTAGGTTAGGTTAGGTTAGGTTAGGTTAGGTTAGGTTAGGTTAGGTTAGGTTAGGTTAGGTTAGGTTAGGTTAGGTTAGGTTAGGTTAGGTTAAGTTAGGTTAGGTTAGGTTATGTTAGGTTGGGTTGGGTTGGGTTGGGTTGGGTTAGGTTAGGTTGGGTTGGGTTAGGTTAGGTTAGGTTAGGTTAGGTTAGGTTAGGTTAGGTTAAGGTTAGGTTAGGTAAGTTAGGTTAGGTTAGGTTAGGTTAGGTTAGGTTAGGTTAGGTTAGGATAGGTTAGGTTAGGTTAGGTTAGGTTAGGTTAGGTTAGGTTAGGTTAGGTTAGGTTAGGTTAGGTTAGGTTAGGTTAGGTTAGGTTAGGTTAGGTTAGGTTAGGTTAGGTTATGTTAGGTTGGGTTGGGTTGGGTTGGGTTGGGTTGGGTTAGGTTAGGTTGGGTTGGGTTAGGTTAGGTTAGGTTAGGTTAGGTTAGGTTAGGTTAAGGTTAGGTTAGGTAAGTTAGGTTAGGTTAGGTTAGGTTAGGTTAGGTTAGGTTAGGTTAGGTTAGGTTAGGTTAGGTTAGGTTAGGTTAGGTTAGGTTAGGTTAGGTTAGGTTAGGTTAGGTTAGGTTAGGTTAGGTTAGGTTAGGTTAGGTTAGGTTAGGTTAGGTTAGGTTAGGTTAGGTTAGGTTAGGTTAGGTTAGGTTAGGTTAGGTTAGGTTAGGTTAGGTTAGGTTAGGTTAGGTTAGTATAAACTTTTGAAGGAAATATTTTAAAAGTACTACTTACGTTAAACGGTATTAGCATAACACCGATATATAGAATCAGCTACTTACATTTGAAATTTCGCCCAACTTACTGAAGCGGTATTCAAGCTATCGGTTCTTGAGAAACCGGATACAATGTAAAGTACCACTTCCGTTTATCGTACAAAGTGATACACATTTTTAAAAACAAAACGTATTTCAATAGCTAAAAATTTTTTTTTTTATTTTTATCGACCGAAATTTGAACCAATCCAATATTCATTTATATTTTTATACTTGTTGGCTTAGTCTACTTTGCATGATCAATATCAAACGAATGTTCTGAATTTAAAAAAAAACCAATACTTTTATGGGCATAATAGGTAATAGAATAGGTGATTAAAGGGAAATATTATTAGCATCAATGTAACGATACTATTAAAAAGCGGAAAAGGAAAAAGGAAAGAAAAAACAACAAAACTGTTTTATTTAAGTTTACTGCTCTCTGTTAACAGTTCTC